CTGTGTTTCTGAGTCTGCAACACAGAAAAACAGATTTAAAAGAATCTGCAGAATTTGGCACGGTATTACTTTCAAGTGACTATTACTGGATAAAGCTTTTATATATCAGTGGCAGAAAGTTATTTTGAATGATAAATAATTCAGTCATTTGTATTAAAGGAAAACAATTACTGAAACCCTAAATAATATTCCAATATATTTTGTTGTCTATTAACTGCACATGAAGTGCTTGTAGATATGAGAAAGCAAAACTGTATTAGAATCTAATCAAATCCCAAGTGTGCTGAACAAATAGTTGTGTCATCCAGTAAGAAATGCAATGTTCAGCAAAACCTCTCAGAAGACTCATAAACTTTTTCAAGCAGCATTGGAGAGCTACTTTCAAACTAATGCTGTAACTTTAAAAAGGAATTCTGTGACTATAAACCTGTATCAAATACTGAAATACTGCCATGAAATTAATATTCTGACTATAACGGTTGAGGTTTTAGTTATTTTTAAAATGTATTTTAAATAGTTCCTTATGTTTTTATAAAGTCACTTCCCCAGCAACATGTTTACATATTCTCTTAAATTAGTTAATTCATGGTGATCCAGAATCACTGGCTGAATTTAAAAAAAATACTTTCTACATTAAACTTGGACTTGGATAGTATATAGATGGGTTCATATAATCTATTGTACCTGGTCACTCAAGTATATTAAAAATGTGCTACATATAATCTCTCTCTCTCTCTCTCTCTCCCCATAGCTAGCTAGCTAGATGGAGGGAGAGAGAATATAATCTTTGAAGTAATTGGTGCCTGTCTTGTTCAATAAAGATTAAGATATACATTAACTGGAATAATTTATTATTCCAAATTTTATATCCTATTTTTAATTTGCTTTAATATCTGCTTCATTTAAAATGTTTATATACCACTATTGAACTGTAAGAGTTTACATTTTAAGAGAAACATTGACTATATTTAATACTTTCATTCCTTAACATGTCAAAATTTATGCCTCAATCATTTCAGCTTTGTCAGTTTAAAACTTGTATATTTTAGTAACAGAATAAACAATACTCTAAAAGTACCCTGCTATTTATATCGTTTTATCTCAAAAAATGTGATGCATCATCATCTATTAGTTATAAATAAACCAAAATGTTAACTGCTTATCAAAAATTATTGCAATACAAAGAAAATATTCTTTGCTTTCCTATGAGAGGGTATTCTAAGGTTAGTTTTTTATCTGATGTTTGAGAGCATGCACAAATGTTTCATGCTTTAGATGCTGAACAGGTGTTTCATATGTGGCAGTAGGAAGAAAATGCCATTTTTTATATTTTACTGTATACATTTTACCTCATATTGTTTGCATCTGTGTATGTTGTTCTTACCATGAACAACTTCAAATGGTTTTATGATCAGAAATGTGGCATATAAATCAAAATAATAAATCAAATTAAGAATGTTTCCTTTGAATGGATGCAACAGTCCTGACAAAAATAAGTCTGCAATCCTTATGTTAGCATGTTTATAATTTGTTTTCTCTAAACCTTTTCAATCTATCTTTGGTCATACATGTTTACTGAAACACCTTTTAGCCACTTACTGTTATGTCATTTCATAGAAATATTATGAGGATCACTCGTACAATAGAAAAAAACAAGTGTAAAATAGCTAAACCATTAAGCAGCAACAAATAGCAACAAACTTGTTCCAATCATATTCATTTTAGTATTATTATTTATATGCTGCCCGCATCTAAATGGTTCTGAACAACTCTGAATAGGGTCTCAGTATTTTAACTGAAAACAAAAACTATAACTGATCTTTGAAACTAGCTAATATCAGTATCTCAAGAATTGGAAGGTCTTTAAGAGAAAAGCCAATTTGTTCTGAATGTGAACAAGTCAATTTGACATGTTTTACAATAAGGGAAGAATTCCAAGAGTTGAAAAACCATCGCCCAGTCTTAGACACTGCATTGACTGAAATATTCATCTGGACCAAACAGAAATGGATGATGGGCAGTCACTGGCCTAGTACTTTATTACATTATATACATATAAGACATTACTCAATTTCTTTCAAGATACGCATCATTTTACAAAGTGCAGAAAAAGAGTAAGAAATAGCAAGCTATACTAAGTAAAGCTAAGCAATAAAAAAAAGAAAATAGCTGCCTATAGAGTTAATTGAGGATTCTATGTCTAGCATATGTAAAATATATAGTTGTTCCCATCTTAAACTTACACATTCAGATAAAATATTTAAACAATAAGCATGCCATGATCCTCCAAACTATCACCATATTACTCCCTGTAACTGGGATGCAATTGGAAGACTACTCTTGAAATGAATTTGAGGAAACGTATCAAAATGCATTTATTTTTATGCAAGACAAAATAGTATTTGAAGGAAGAACAAGATTGTGTCTCATTTCTTGCCTGCCTGATTTTTTTCTAGAATTGGCTTTTCTTCTTTAATTTAGACATTTAGCTTTTAATATCCATTTTTGTTGATATTAATGTGCCATAATAATTAAACCCTGTTATATACATAAATGTTCACCTATTTAATCATGTACTGATGGCAATGAGCTTGTAATTCTGCATAATATTAAGTGATCTAATTCACATGGAAGAGAAGGAATCATTATCTGGTGTTTTTTTTTTTTTTTAAGCAGCGTCCAGAAGAAACAGCCACAATTTGCTCTAGTAGATTTCTAGACCAAGTTTGACAGATGTGATTAATACTTTTGGAAAAGAGTATTGGGAGAGCAGCCTGTAGAAATGAAAATAACTCTGAAAATAACATCTTTTCTGTAGCTCTTAAAATTTTTACATTTTAATAATATTTAGTACTCAGAAAAATTATTCCCACACTGGTTTTTTGAAGAGGGTATTCATTTTTATTAGAGTAGTACATACTAAAACTAATTTGGGAGCAATCAAATATACACCTGTATGTAAACAGGCAAATCACGGGTGCAACTCTATTACATTTTGTGTACCAAACACCAGTCTTTTAATAAATTATATTATAATATCTAAAGTACAAGACTTTAATATAACTACAGCAAAGCCACAAAGAAGTTTTAAAAACAAAAAGTTATTAGTTGAAAAAAAATATTATGGCTACCACCCAGATATTGATTAAAAGTATTTTTTTTCTTACGAAGTTTGAGAAAGTCCATAACCATACATACACACAGAAAAATTAGTGCTACATTGTTTTTCTGTATTAATAAACATTAAAAGATAACTATTTTATTTTATTTTACTGCCTAGCATATTTAAGGGCCGCTGAAGATTAGCTCAACTTTGGGAGGTAAAAATGCACCCATTCTGCATCGAAATGAAGTTGTTATCCTATTTTTATGATTGATTATTCTGGAACGATTCACACTTCATCTTTTTTGGGGGGGGGGGAGAGAATCCCAAAGTCCATGAAAGCCGGAACCTCCTCACGTTTGAGTTAAATGTTTCCAAGGCTTATATGTGCATCCTGAGCTCACGCTAATGGAAGGCAGCAAACGACACTAAGCCCCGTTCTGATTTCTTCGGTACTACAATGTATCTTGAACAGGGCAGCGGACGGGAAAGAAGAGCAGAGCCCACAGTCCAGTTGCTACTTAATGAAACTGAACTCCGTTCAATTAATTTCGACTTGCTCCACGGCCAAGTGCAACATGTGCCGAGGAATGGGATATTAAAAGGCAACCAGAGGAAAACCGCAAGTTTGACGTTTCGTGTGGGGAAGAGATGGTTTTCTTTCCCAAGACTCGCCGCGGGAACGGGCTAAGGGCAAGGGGGCACGGAAGGCGCAGGAGAGCTAGGTCAGTCGAGGCTTTCTAGCCGTTTTTACCCACCACCCTGGGCGTCCGACCGCCTGTTCCCCGCTTCGGCATTCAAATTTACACGGCGCCGCTCTAAGGCAGAAGGGCTGACGGTCAGAAAAGACGCTGCACTACGAAGGTCCCGACGGCTCGCCGTCAAAAGGATCGATCCCGACCTTCGGCGCGCGAGGGAATCGACTACAAGGGCCGCCGCGTCCCGGCGCCCCCGACCCCGCCCTCCTGCCCCCGCTCTTCCCTCACCTAGATACCGTCTCCGCAGCAGGCCCGGCTCCTCCAGGCCCAAACTCCTTTTCTTCACATCCCACAGGAGGTGGGTGCAGCACCCCCGGGACATGGCCCCGCGTGCTCTGCCAGGCGGATCGGATCTGCCACCGCGGGCACCAGCGACATCAGTCGCTGCCACTTACTGAGGGCCACCCCTCCCCCGCTTCACCATGGAGACCGTGCGCGCGCCTGGCGCGCGCGTAACCACTGCCGCTGCTGCCATTCAAACCCGCCTCCCCCCCCCCCCCCCCACCCCCCCTTCCGAAAGCCGCCACCGTAACAATAGCTCCTCCCCTCTCCCCGCCCACAGACGGGGAACGGCTCACTGGAGACATCGCGAGAGTTAAAGCGAGTGGGGTGGGTGGTAGAGGAATAACTATTTGCGGCTGCGGCGTCTTGCGCTGGCTTTCTGGACGGAAACCAAGCCAACCGCCGGACGCTTTAAAGGTCTCCTCCTTCCCTCACGTCACTGAACGCTCAAAGGTGTAAACAAGTCAGGACGAGTTCAAGGGCGCGGGTTCGGCCCTGACTATCGTGTGTAAACAAGCTCGTCGTTCCCGGATAAGGTCTAAAGAAGCACCTAAGTCGAACATTATTTCCAGAGCCGATGTTCCATAATAGAAAATAATAGTTGCTTCACTCGTCATTGCTTCGCGCTCGTTTTACCAGCGTCATAAAAAGCAGACAAGAATTGACACTCTCCTACTGTCATCGACACTAAAGAGAAAGCCGGTGGTGGCAATAGCACGGCTGGCCAATAGCACGAAGGACAGCTGTTTAAGCCACGCCCCTTTCTCAATCCAGCAGCAAATCAGAACAAAGCAAACCGGGTTCGGTCCTACCACCGGCTTAAGTCTGCGGGGCGGGTTCTAAGGCCGTGTGAGGAGGAGGAGGAGGAGAAGGAAAGGAAGGACGCCAAGTCGAGCGTCGCTGTCACTGAATTCGGGGCTCCCGGTATCAACGAACGCACAGGATGGCGGCTGCGGTGGCTGGGTTTCGTGCTTCTTATCACCGTTTCTTAGACAAGATCGAGCTTATGTTGCCGCCTCGGCTGCGCCCTTTATATAACCACCCTGCAGGTATTGAGGGAGGGGAGAGAAAGGGGGAAAGACCGGCAATTGCTGTAGGTGATCCGTGTAAGGGTGTGAGAAGGTGAATGTGAAAAAAAAAAGTTAATGGTCCTGCAGACGTTCACTCGAAGAAGGCCATCCAAAAGGAGTTTCCCCGGGAAATGCAGTTTTACATGGCACGGTACTGTAGTTGTGAGAAATTTCTATTTCCGTTATATTTGGGTATGTTTTGCCCCCTTCCTATTGCAGTATTATCACAAAGTGTCCACATATGATGTGTTACCGAATGTCGAAAGTCAAATATCTGGCTAGTTTCTGAGGAATTGAAGTTGAAGCCCAATTTACCGTGAAGTTTGTTAAGTGACCTTGGAGCAGGTATTGTGCTTTAACCTAGTGCAATGCTTTTTTTTTCCTCCAAAATGAGAGGCAGAATATAAATAAATAATACAGAAGACCTAGTGCATGGTCTAGTTAAATGGATGTGACATTACATTTTTTCCCCCAAGAAATTCTGCAAAGAATTCATTTCTCCTCTTCTCTGGAGGACAGCTAGACTGCCCTGCCCACGTTATTGCCCTTTGAATGTTTTAGGACAGGGGTCTTCAAACTTGGCAATTTCAAGACTTGTGGACTTCAGTTCCCAGAATTCCTGAGTTAACATGACTGGAGGAGGAATTCTGGGAGTTGAAGTCCACAAGTCTTAAAGCTGTCAAGTTTGAAGACCCCTGTTTTAGAATTAGAATTTCATACATCATTGAACACCCCAGCTACATGAGCAACCATCCTATACACTGAATAAGTTCTAGGAGTTGTAAATGTCTATGGGGAGTCTCAGTCATCCAGGTCATGGTTGTCCCAAAGGTGCTTTTTCCATTGTTACAGCTGAAGAAACTTCATGGATGAGAAGCAAAATGTTTTCAAAGAAATAAATCTAGAAAGTCTAATTTCCTTTTGGAAAAAACACCTTTACCAGATATTTGTACTTCAAATTCATTTGATAGGCACTAGGTTGGAGAAAGCTATAAAATATCTGGAAAGAGTGAGGGTAACAATCCAATAGCATATTTCAGTATCCTTTCTACAATTCAGTGGCAGATGGGAAATGTTCTGTAATCTTCACCATCCTTTATTAAGCCTCTTACCAAAAAGATATTGAAGTTCCGATACATTTTAAACTTTACAGGATTATATATAATTTAAATTTGTCACCTACTACTTCTCCTTCGGTTTTAGTAATACAATCATCAAGGAATTGACAAAACTTACAGAAAATGTAACATCTGTTTGTTCTCCTTGACATAGAAGTTTCAGAAATAGGGTCTGTTATCTTTATTGCTAGCAATAAAGAGTGAAAGACCGAATTAAGGCAGCTAAATGGAAAGTCAAACTGTCATCCAGGAAAAATACAATTGATAAGCTGCAGTGCTACAAAATAGATAGTGACGTGAATTGTTGAAACTTAGCCTAAAATTAAGATTCCAAGATTAACCTGCAGAATTGCCTCATGGCCAGGCAGAAGGCAAACAGATTTAATTAATAATAAATGTGTAACTATTAGTATGAATTTCAAAATAGATACTTTCTGGTGAAGGAATGTTATTGGCTAAGTTGCAACAGAAACTTGCTAGTCTGGAAAAGATCATTGCCAAGTTCTTGCCTGCCCAGAAGTGCTGACTGGTGTGCTTGCCCCATGGCTGGTGTCAGAGCCTTGTAAGAAAAATTAACAGTGACTTGTTCCCTATTATTTTCAAATAAAAGTTGCAAGAGGAAAAGATAGCTTCAACCCCATATTTAATGTAGCAACAAAGTACATCTATTATGCAGCTATTGTTACATTACACCTTGCTGCAGAAAGAACTTTTCTTTCTTGGGGTTCATAAATCCTGTCATACTGCAATAACAATGTATTTTTAATTTAAAAAATGCCTTATTCCGGTTTTGGTTGATATAAGAGTTATGGCGGTATTATGGTGGTATCTGGACTATGAAGACCTTGTAACAGTTATTCATGCTCCTATCACTTTTTATTTGTTTCATTTCAAGTTGTTTTATACAAGGCCGTCTTTGAAGACTATCAAGAAATTTGAATTGGTCTCAAATGCAATTACATGGTTGTTAACAGATATATGCCAGTACAAACACCTATACTCTCGCCTTGTGCTGGCTTTCTGTTGGCTTCTGAGAGCAACTCAGAACTATTGTTTTGTACTTTAAAAGCTATATGGCTTGAAACTGGAGTATTTGTAGGACTGCCTTCTGCAACCAGTTTTATCCAATCCAACTTGTATGTCCTGGAAGAACCTGTTTGTGGTTCCCCAATTCTATGAGGTAAGAATGCTGGAGGCCTGCAGGTAGTGGGGTTTTTTTGTGGTGTGTGTTTGTGTATATATTTATCTGCCCTTTGGAACCATTTCCCTCAGAAATTCAGTCAGATCCTATACTATTGACTTTCAGTAAATTACAACAAATAGTTATTTCAAAGAGCTTTTGGACATGAGTTGATGCCATCAGTTACTGATTGCTTTATGTGTAGTTAAGGATTAGTTATTTTTTATGTCTGTAGTTAGACTGTAGACATTTTATTGCATTGCATAGAGACAAACTACAAAGCACAAATTCCTCATCCCTTGTTGATAATCATATTAAACTGTATTTGTATTCCTTTGGTTTTTATCCAGTGGAAGAAGGAAATGTGTTATATGTAACAATTATTTTAACAACAAGCTGTTATTTCTTTTATAAGAAATTAGCTTCAGTATCTCTTCAGTATACTTTTTCAGGTTAGTAATAGCTGGGCTGTATAAGAAGAGAAAAATTATTAACAAGATTTTTTCCCAATCGCTTGAGTGTGAATTGTATTTGAATAATTATAAGAAGAGATGTCTTATTTAATCTAGCAGTCTGTTCTACAGTGGTTCAACCAGTATCTGTGGAAAATTCACAGAAAGAACAAGAGTACCTTATTGTTTTTCTTCCATAGCAACAGGTTTTGAAAGGGAAGCTGATGCCAGTGGTTGAGGTGGTAAATAAAGTGAATGAAAAATGAATTTACCTTATTTCCAAACTTCGAAGCTTTTCATCTCCAACCTATTGGTTATTTTGGTTTTTCCTTCAGTAGCTATTCTCTATCCTAATATATTTGACTTGTGATGAACACAATTATATTCAATGCTCCAACTGCAGTTAGTTACACCATACATTTATACAAATCGGTATATTACTGGTAGTTGTACTGAATTATAGCTTTTCTCAATAGTTACACAATGAATCATTGTTTGTGCTGAGCTACAGTACAATATCAGGATGGTGCTTAGGCATTTTCTTCTTAGCTTTAGTGTCAGTTTCTGTTCAATTTTAAACATATTTTCAAAGTCCATGCCATGTGAACCTGGAACAGTTTGATGGCCTGATTTGATACACTGTGACATTTCCCCTAGATTGGAACATAACCTGCAGTATTGGAGAGAAATCTTACTTCTGGTTTGTGAAATATTCTTTGCAGTTAACACTTTCATTTCTTATTCTAGTAGTTCCTTGCACTCTACAGATAATCATTTTATTTAATATGGTTAATTACCATGCAATGAAAAGTGAAGTGTTGACAGTAAAAGTAATTAGCTGATGTTTTCTATTCATTGTAATACTTCTCTTAATAGAAAACTTTAGAACCTCTCTAAAGTAGCAAAAATAACTATGCTGGGAAATAATTTATGGCTTGTAACAAATTTATTTATAAAGAAGGAGTCTTATAAAACAACTGCTAGTTATAGTTCAAAGTAGCATTCATAATCACTTGGATCAGGACTGACATAAAATAGATATAGATATACTAAGATATTCTGATCTAAGCTTAAGTAAATGAAGGATTTACCAAAAAAAAACCCACCTGAAATTAAATGATGAAAAAAATAAGGGCACCGAGAAACACAAGTTGTGAGAAGCAATTTGTACTCAAAATACATTTCTATGCTGGACATTTCTCCTGGTTCCATATTCACCTAACTAAACCATCATTTTATATTTTCTTCTCATGTAGTTGTTTAGCACTCTAGTGAAAAGTAGAGTTTAAAATCTGACCAGGTATTGATATATGCAACTGCCTGATCCAACAATATGTATTTAGCCTAAATAACTTCATTCTAGGGGTGGTGTGATGGTTCAGCAGTTAAGATGATGGGCTTGTCAGCTGAAAAGCTGATAGCTTGGGTTTTAGACCCAAGCGCCATGTAATGAGCTTCCATTACTCATCCCAGCTTCTGCCAACTTTGCTGTTTGAAAGCATGCAAATGCAAGTAGATAAATAAGTACCACTTATGCAGGAACATTACTGCATTCTGTATTTTCAGGTTGGCCATGAAGATGGAATTATATCCCAGACAATGCAGGCTCTTGGATGGGAATTGGAGATGAGCACCACCCCTTGATTGGACAGGGGAAACTTTTTAACTTCATTCTACAATAATTGTCACAACCTTTATATCTCATCTTGTATCATTTAAAAGCCTATTATCACAACATTATTATTTATGTAAGGGCATATCCAAGTTTGCCATGAGTTGTGCATTGAGAATATTTCTTTAACTCAGTAGAGCTTTGTTATTCTCTTTGTTTCTGCAACTACAAGTTAACATAAAAGATGCATACCACTAGATTTCAACAGTTTTCTGAAAGATTTAATTAGAATTGAGTACTTCAAAGTATTAACTTTAATAATAAGGTGGTTATCAAATACTTCCCTAGAATGATGTGAAATATTACATGTCTAAAACTTCTTTAAAATAACAGAAAAGTAAGAGTTTTTTTTTAAATACACTACTCAGAGATGCCATGCATGCCCTACAACATTACTGAACTTAGTGCTTTCCAAATAAATTGAGTAACAAGCTCCAAAAATCCTGGTGTAGCATAACTATTGGCCATGCTGAGTTGAAATTGGTCATGCTGAGTTGAAATGCTGGAATTTAAAGCACCAGGATGAGAAAAATTTAGCCATGTCAAAAGATAGGTCAGCTGATGCCTGCTAGATAGCTTGGATTTCAGTGTTCATCAACCCCAGCAAGTATTAAAAGATTGAAGTCTAAAACTCTAAAGCATGTGGTTTTGCTCATACTGTCCTTCATTCCTTGAACATTCATGGACACTATTTCCAAAAACCTACTTACAATTTATTCCTAAATAGGAGCTAGACTTACATTTTTTTCTGATCACAAAATAACTTGTGAAATGACAGCTATGTGGATAATCTAATAATCTCTTTAATTTCAGAGATATTTCAGATGCCCTGTTCACAATGGGTTGGTTTGTCATTAGGAATCACCAGAAGTGGGATTAACTGCATTTATCTAGCTAAAAGAGATAAAACTTTGTTTTTGTGCCTGGAACTGTATCCTCCAAACTGGAAATGATTTTGAGATATTCTTAGTGTGACCCTGAAATAGATCTGTTCTCTTCCCGTTAGGTCACCTCTATAAGGCATTGCATGCCAAAACAACTAGACACAGGGACAGTTTCTTTCCTTATGCCATCATGAGGAATTAGGTGCTGAACACCTAATTCTTACAATACTGTTTAATGTCTATGTACATTTGCCCAGGTTGTATGGCTGTAGCATTATTGTTATCTGTCTTACCTTTTCTACTCCCTTGTCTTTTTGGTATTATCATTATGATTATTATTACTCTGTTGCTTTGCATGTAAACTGAGAGCTTCTGCACTGGAAAATGTGTCTAATCACACTTGGCCAATAAGTATTCTTAATAAGTCTAATGTTTCATGAAGAATGCTTACATCTGGAACATCTTGACCTGCTTCTGCTTGGGAGGGATTACTTCTGGAAAACGCTGAACCCTCTGTCTGTAGGGTCCAAAGGGAATAGAACAGTTATGTATAATAGTCCAATACATTTTACACATCCATAATTATTTACTTATAGATAATATATGCTTTTTCTAGTGAGGCTTTGTATGTCCTACTTTCAGCATGAAAAGCAGTCCCTTGCAGCACCTGACATTTCAAAAAAGGAACTCAGTTATTACAAAAATTTCATCCATTCCTTGAATTCATTTTAGAAGGTTATTTAATAGTTTTCAGAGATATTATTTCTAGTGAGCAATATTGTACTCAGGATTATTTCACTTTACAAACAGCAATTTATAACTCTTACAAGTATATTATGATCCCTACCCTGAGTGATTTTACAGTTATACTCTGTGGGATAACAATAGAAAATGAAAATGTAAGATCAACTTGGCCAGATTTATTGTTAGAAAACAGAATAAAATACTGTATAAAATTCTATGACCTAGGAAAAAAGCAGCTCTATGAATCCATTTAAAATATTTTACTGTACCAAATATTGGGAGGTTGCAATAGTTGAGTGAATCCAATAGCATTTGGGCAAAGGTTAGGAAAATAAGAGGAATTTCGATTGTATAAGTAGATCTACTCTTCCACCCCCAAGTCTGAGAGAGAATTGCTGGCCTAAGGTCATCCAGCTGTCTTTGTACCTAAGGCAGGACTAGAAATCATGGTTTCCTGTTTTCTAGCCTGATGCTTTAACTACTACACTATCTAAAGTTTACTTATATAATTGTTATTTTTACTGTTTATTTCTGTCCCACTTATTATGATGACTCAAAGCACTTCAGATAGTTTTGTCCCGTACTTACATACTAAGTGATAATGTTCGAGGTTAATATCAGGGAAGGAAGTTATTTATTTATTTACATTCACTTATTTATTGCTTTACTACTGACTACTAGAATCAAGAGTTTGCTGTTAAGAGTTTACCATAAAGAATTTTTTTCTATATAGGTACAAATAATCGTTAACATAAGAGGCTGTGGTCCACCCTCTTCTCAAGAAGCCATCGCTGGATTCCACCCTGTTGGATAAACCCTGTTGGATAATTTCTGATCTGTCTCTAATCTTCCCTTTTGGGGGAAGGTTGTTGAGAAGGTGGTTGTGTGGCATCTTCATCCAGAGATTTCTAGATGAAACAGATTACCTAGACTCCTACCAGTCAGGATTCAGGCCTAGATATGAGACAGAAATGGCATTGGTCATACTTTTTTTAATAATCTCTGGTGGGAGCAAGATGGGGGCAGTGCATCCATCCTTGCTTTATTGACTTCTCAGTAGTTTTCAGTACCATCAACCATTATATCCTTCTGGAGCAACTTCAGGGGTTGGGAGTAGGAGACTTCGTGCTATCCTGGTTCACTTCTTTCCTCTGTGGCTGCTCTCAGTTGGTGTTAATAGGAGGCGAGAGATGCAGCCCTTACCCACTGCTTTGCGGTGTCTCGCAGGGCTCAGTACCCTCTCTGCTCCTATTCAACACCTATATGAACCTGTTGGATGAGATTATCTATCACCATCAATATGGTGATGATACTCAGCTGTATATCTTAGCCCCTAGTGAGTTAAGCAATGCCATGATCTCCCTCTCACAATGCCTGGAGGCTCTTCGGGCTGAATGGAGAGCAACGGGTTGAAACAACCCTGACAAAAGCTGAGTAGCTGTGGGTTTGAATTCTTTGGTCCAATTGGAGAATTGCCACCTTTGGTCTTGGATGGGGTGGCACTGCCTCAAAGAGACCCAGTGCATATTTTGAGGGTTGTCTTGGACTTGTGATTCCTGCTCAAAAAGCAGGTGGCAGACGTGGCCAGGAGGGCCTTTCCGCAACTGCGGATTGTGCACTAATTACGCCCTTTCCTGGACCAACAATACCTACTCATGGTCACTCATGCCCTAGTCACCTCCCATCTTTTCTATTGCAACACGTTCTACATGGGGCTACCCTTAAAAAGAATCTGGAAGCACCAGTTGGTGTAAAATTCAGTGGCCCACATGGTCTTGGTGTGCACATATGTTACCTCTCCTGTGGGAGCTGTATTGGTTACTAATTTGCTTTCAGGTGCAATTCTAAGTATTGGTTGTTACCTTTAAAGCCCTTCATGGTTTGGGACCAGGTTATCTGAGGGATTGTCTTTTGCTGGTCACATCCACCCAACCCACTAGAGCTGAGAGGCAACGAATGTTGCAGGCCCCATCCCATAAGGAGATACATTTGGCAGGATCCAGAAGAAAGGCCTTTTCCATGGTGGCTCCCTCCCTCTGGAACATCATCCCTCTGGAAATTAGACTGACCCCCACTCTGACACTCTTTTGGAAGACCCTGAAGACATGGTTCTGCCAGCGGGCCTGGGAAACCAGAGCGGGACGGAGCTCGTTAAATGGCTGGTATGAGTGTGTGTTCTCTCTGGAGGGGATTATTATTATTATTTATTTCTTTTATATTGTGTTTTTATTTCTTATGAGCCACCTTGAGTTGCCATGAGCGAGTAGGTGGCAATATAACATTTGAAAATAAATAAATAAATAAATAAACATGAAACATTTTCTACAAATGAAGAAAAGCTGCATTTTCTACATTCATTTGGGAAAAAATGTATTTTTGTCATCACAATTCCTTTTTCCTGCAATGTGGATATACTTCATGAATTTCAAGATATGATAAACTACTGCATAAGTTTTACTCAGACAAATTTAATCATAACTTGTTTCTTTCTTGGCTTTCAGATTAAAAAATGTTTTACTGAAACAAATTTAATAGCTTTTTGAGACTAAGTAAAATCTTCTCTTGCAGGTCCCAAAACAGTGTTTTTTTGGGCACCTGTTATGAAATGGGTAAGTTGATTTGGTGATTCATACAAAACATGCATAATTCCTGTGTTTCCTGTGTTAAAAACGCATTATATACTTCTACTGTAGTTTTTAAAAAGTGGTTTACCGGACAATCTCCTGGTATACCAGCACTTGCTTTTGCATAGCCATTAACTCAATCTTTGAGAAAAAATTATTTCCTCATTCTGTAAAAGGTCATCTGAGAACTTGGTGGAAAAAATTATTGGTCAATATTTCTATCAGACTTTAGATGCAATGTAATTTCCCAAAAGTCTATATTAAAAATACTTTTTAATCATGTAGCCAGACATGATTAAACACATTATGAATCAGTTAGATTCTAACATAATGGTCCTGTTAGGACAATATGGCTGACCCAATGGTCACATCTTTTATACAATTTCCTCAACTTGTTGTAAGCTGCCTTGAGTCACCTCTTGGCAAGATGGGTAGTGTATACATTTCATAATAAATAAAAAAGTAATACAATAAAATAAAATCTTCATGTGCCAGCTGAACACAATCTGAAATATCTGGGCTGGTTGTCTATAGTTCTCTTGGCCATTGTAAAGGAGGGTTTCTAGTTTCTGTCTCATTGGAATGGGAAAATCTACTTTGTCTTGACTGTGGTCAGCAGCATCATGGGCAGTTTGAGAGCGGCATATCTCATCAATAGTCAGGTCTGCCCATTTTTCATGTCCCTTCTCCCCCATCCCCATGAGACCATGGAAGTAGGCTGAAAAGTGAAATCACAAAAGTGACAGAGCACCTCTGGATTGTATGACTCATATATGTTGAAATATAGTTTAAATTGAGCCCCAAATCAACCTGGTTTTATTTGATTCAAGCATGTTAATGGCAGTCTATTGGATTGATATGGAATCATGTATCACTCAAATCCTAGTTTTCTCTTTGACCCAATTTAAAACTCAAAATGGACTGGAACATATAACTACAGCTATCTAAATGGCTAGCATGAAATATATGATTTCAAACTAAATGTTATAGACCACTGGTTCTCAAAAGCTTTAGTCTCAGGACCCCTTTACATTCTTAAAAATGATAGAAGACACCCAAAGACCTTTGGTTTATGTGAGTTATATCTATCAATATTTATTGTATTAGAAATTAAAATTGAGAAATTTAAAAATATTTATTTGATTTCAAGGACAAAGGAAAGGGTCCCTAGATCATATTTTGAGAACTGCTGGTATAGACTGTAGCACTTTGATATAAATAAAAAATGAAAGTACTATTACTGACACATTAAGCTATTGCTTTCTTATTGCAGGGTTTGGTATGTGCTGGAATGGCTGATATGACTAGGCCTGCTGAAAAACTCAGCACTTCACAGTCTGCTGTTCTAATGGCTACTGGTATGTATGTATTCTCTTTTAGTTATTTCATATAGGGAAAATGTTAAATCATCAGTTCTGTTTTAATACCAAGACAAAACTAAATTAATATTTTATTTTAGGAAAGGTTTTCAAACCATATACTTAAAATATAAATATAAAATTTTAGAAATGTTTATACAGTTATTAACTTCGCCTGACTGTCTAACAGGAACACCTAAAAATAGGTATATTTGAACCAGAAACAGATTTTGCTTTGGTTATATATGTAGTCCTTGTTTAGCAACCACAATTGGGACTGGCAACTTGATTGTTAAAATGATGAAGTCCCGAAGGAAGAAATCACATAATGGCAAATGTGCCTATGATTTTACTTTTATCTTTCCTTTTTCCCAACTTCCCTGCCATTTAGAATCAGTGGTAGGATTCAATTTTTTTTACTACCAGTTCTGTGGGTGTGGCTTGGTGGGCGTGGCAGGGGAAGGATACTGTAAACTCCAGTCAGGTTCAGGTGGTATTTTCCGGTTCTCCAAACTACTCAAAATTTCCACTACTGGTTCTTCAGAACTGGTCAGAACCTGCTGAATACCACTTCTGTTTGAAATGCTTACTCGGTGATGGAATAATTAACCAGAAGAGAATTAATGTTTATATTTATATTTCATTGGGAAAGAATGCATAAAAGAAAGTAAACAGCCACACATGGGGAATACACATTGAAAGGAATGCTCTAGTGCCTGCAACTCTGTAATTAGGTGATTAGATGAGAGCAGAGAGTGGATAGCGGACAGCAGATAAAGATAAGAGCCGGGACGAGCTGTGTTTAGATGAGAGTGTGATTCGGACGCTTACAGAGAGACTGATTCTGAGAGAGAGCCATTCTGAGTGGCAAAGATTGACTGGTGAAGAGTGTGATTCTGAACTGCAGAGAAAGAGACAGAACTGACAGAGGGTGATTCTAAACTTCCGAAAAAGAGTCGGGACTAGAGAAGAGCAAGAGAGTGTAATTCTGAACAGCCGTGTATTGCAGAGAACTGAGGAGACTCACAGAGAATCGATAGTCTCCATTTAAATCACCCAGCTGATTAGTCAGCCTGCATTTAAATTCCCACTCAGCTGATTGGACAACCTCCACTTAACCCCCACCCAAATGTCATCCATTCCAAACTCCCAAATAGATGATTGGTGAGCTCATTCAAATCTTCTCTATTCAAATCTATCAAGCAGCAACTCTTCCTCTTTAAAAACAAAAACACAACAAAACAAAAACCAAACAACATGGCTTTAAGGAAAAACAAAGGAACTTTCCACTACAAACCTCCAATACTTCACTACCTCCGCTATTTCAGTACCTCAAGACCAAATATTGATAGAAAATGCTTTGTCTACAATAACTGATTTATCATCTAATGGTATAATAATTAATTGTTAAATGACCACTAATTTACTGATTCATTGAATTGATAGAGATTTAATACTGTATCATTGATTATCTAGTCGATTGATTGATTAATTGATTTTTAGTAATAAGTAACCTTTTGATTTGTTCTCTAATGTATCAATTAACATTTATTAATTACCAACATTCATTAAGTAACTGTCTACCTATCACATTAATTAGCTACTGTAATTGTTTAGTGTACTATTGTCATTGACCATGCCAGCCAAAAACTCGAAATCCTCCACTACCAAACAACAATAGAATAATATTTCTACCAGTGACCTCCCAGACTCCTGAACATGCTTCAGATGTCTTGAAAACATCAATAAAAGCGAAAATAACATCAAATGCCACCTATGTGACAATTAAGCCCACCTTGCCTGCTTAAACTTAAACAAAAGCACAGCTGATCTCCTAAAAGCATCAGATACATTCCCTTGTCTATGACCATCATGTTTTCCTAAGCTAAACAAAGTACCCTGCCTGACAGAGTTGATAGCATAGAATCACTCATTCACTCATTAGAAGAATGCTTAGCAACACATTTTGAAACAACTATGCAAGCAAGCCTAATCTCTCTTGGAAAAAAAATACAGCACAGATAAGTGGATACCTATCAGCTCAAAATGTAATCCCAACTCAACAACCACTACCACAAATACTACATCAACTACAATCACAACTACAACCAAAAATAACCACCAAACCACAGCCACAAATAATTACTATCCCATCAAATAATTCCACAAATGATATTTACTCATCAGAGACATCATGGAACATGATCAGAAACGTCCAAATGCCATCTTATTTGGTCTTGAAGACACCAACGAATCAGACGACATCACCACAGTTCGCAATATCATAAGCAACTCAAATACAACAAACATCACTCCTGAAGATATCATTGAAATAACCAGAGATGGCTCTAAGTTCAAATATAATGACGGCTCGGTGGTCTCAAGATTTTGTAAAGTTGTTTGTAAAATGAGTCCAGCAAACGCATATTCATTCATACAATAAACACCATTGCAAAAACCAATCCCAACCATAAAAAACTTCACTCAAGACCAGACTTATCCACACTGCAAAGAATCCGCTCCTGTGAACTCTGCACAGAATTCAAAAGACATCCAGACAGTGGAGAGAAGGACCTGTACATTGACTACATGGCTCAACGCATCTCTTCCTGACTCCATTACCACAGTAAGAGACTATTATGTTTTCCGGTCAGATCGTGAAATCCATAGAGGTGGTGGTGGTGCTATCTTCCATAAAAAGTCCCTACATCTAAAAAACATCCAAGTTACCCAGGAACTTGCTCTTCCTGAGACCATTGTCTGTGAACTCATTAATATCACATTTCGATTCTTATTATGTTACAGAGCCCCTGATTATGACATCGAACATGTAAACAAGTTAAATTCACTACTAACATGGACAACATCATGCCCACATACTTTTATCTTTCTTTGTGACTTTAATCTACCTCATAATAACTGGACCCTAAACGAATGTAAAACTGAACCCATACATGCAACCTTCTACAATGCTGTAACAAATCTGGGACTGGAACAACTAGTAACCAACAATACTAGACTTAACCACTGTCTTGATCTCATCTTCTGCAATAGTTTGAATTCAATTTACAGAATACAAATTAAAGAACCCTTCTCCAGTGACCACAACATGATTGACTTTTGTCTCAATATACATCCACACAAAAATCATCATAACGACGGGATCCTCAATTATAATTCCAAAAAAGGCAACTATGATTTTATAGACAACGATCTCTCATCTCTTGATTAGCAAATTCTATTCACTGGATGCAATACTGTTGAAAACCACTACAACATATTTTTACTTGAAGTCAAAAGAATCATCAAACTATATGTACCAATAACAACTCCCAAAACCAGAAAAAACAAATTACCCCTAACAATAAGGAAGCATCAATCCAAAAAGAAATCACTTTGGCGGAAAAACCAATCTGGTCACGTTGCCAACTTCAAAAGCTGATACAAAAATTTATGCCACCAGATAAAGACTGAATGCACCAATTACACATTAAACAAGAGGAAAACCTTCTACACACCAATTCCACCCGTGCTTTCTACAATTCTGTAAACAACAACCTAAAAGACTCAAGGTCCATCCCACCCCTGAAAGGACCTAATTGTAAAGACTGCAACAATGACACCATTAAAGCCAACCACTTTAACACATTCTTTGGCTCAGTATTTGTAAACAGCAATGGATCATGCCCAGTATTTCCTAGTCGAATCACAGACAACTACAATGATCTAATACATACCGATTTTACAGTAGACAATGTTGAAAAAGCACTACGCAATCTAAAACCATCTCTATCTATTGAACCGGACAGAATATGTGCCTACTTCTTAAAAAAGCTATCCACTGCCATAGCCGAACCTCTCAGCATAACCTCTCAGCATAATCCTTGAAAAATCTTTCAGGACCAGCTCCTTGTGAAACCTATGGTCACTAGCAACGGTCATCCCCATCTTCAAAAAGGGAGACCCCAGCCTAGTTGAAAATTACAGACCAATCTCTTTATACTGCGTCACCTGTAAAGTCATGGAATCAATTATTAACCAATCCATTATCCTCCACTTAGAAACAAACAACCTACTCTCTAATAAACAATTTGGTTTCAGGAAAAATCTACCCTGTAATCTGCAACTCTTACACTGCAAAAACATATGGACTACACAAGTTGATCAGGGCAAAGCAATAGATGCAATCTACATAGACTTCTGTAAAACCTTTGATTCAGTGGTACACGACAAACCACTCCTAAAACTAAAATCTAATGGTATCTCTGGACACCTTCATAACTGGATAGAAGCATTTCTGTCAAACAGACAACAAATGGTCAGAATTGGGAGCATCCTATCAAATTCTGTACCTGTCAACAGTGGTGTCCCCCAAACATATAGATTTAAAACCAGAGATTTTTTTATTGGGAATCTAACCTGATACATATAATAAAAATTTGAAATATTTGATTGTAAATGTATTAACAGTGGCTAGGATTGTATTTGCTAAAAACTGGAAGAGTGAGAAAATACCATCACAGGACGAAATTATTAAGAAAATATTGGAATGTGCTGAAATGAGTAGATTGACATTTGAAATTAGAGAACAAGAAGATAAACAATTCTATGAAGTTTGGGACCTTTTCTATCAATGGCTAGATAATAAAATATAATAATAGAATATTTAGAACCTTAGGAAACAATGAATACATATTTCTTTTTTTTCTTTGATACTATCTTTATAAAATTTTATTAAGATAGACTTGGTATGACTTTATGATTTGCTATAAAATAAATTAAGTAATCTATAGTTATCTCATTAAAGTATGAATTAATAAATGATTGTTTAATAATGATATCAGGTTATATAATTGTTGATTGATAATATGAGCTATTATGTAATATAACTACAATGGAGACTATGAAATGGATGCACAAAAAAAGTGGTAAACCAACCGACACACTGTCTGTAAACTCATGAAGGAAAGGATGGTGTTTTTATGTTTTATGTGTTTTTGTTTGTTGTTAAAATTAACAAAACTGTTTTCAAAAAAAAACAAAAAACAGTGGTGTCCCCCAAGGCAGTGTTCTAGGACCAACTCTCTTCATACTCTATATAAATGACCTCTGTAATTATATTAAAAGCAACTGTGTTCTCTTCGCTGATATAAAGCTATTCAACACCACCGACAATACTGCTACCCTTCAAAAAGACCTTGACTATGTATCAGAATGGTCAAACAAATGGCAACTTCAAATCTAAACAAATAAATACTCTGTCTTACATATTGGCAAAAAAAAATCAGAAAATAAAATACAGGCTGAATAGTCAAGACCTTGTTGATGATCCAAACTCTCTCAAAGACCTTGGAGTAGTCATCTCTAATGATCTAAATGCTAGAGCCCACTGTAACTACATAGCCCAAAAGGCATTAAGAGTTGTTAACGTAATCCTACGTAGCTTTTTCTCTCTAATATCACACTATTAACTAGTGCATACAAAATATTTGCTAGACCAATACTTGAATACAGGTCATCAGTCTGGAAACCGCATTATGTATCTGATATTAATTCAGTTGAGAAAGTCCAGAAATATTTCACAAGAAGAGTTTTCCACTCCTCTAATTGTTGCAGAATACCTTATGCCACCAGACTTGAAATTCTAGACCTAGAAAACCTAGAACTACGCAGCCTTCGGTCCAATCTAAATATAGTATATAAAATTATACATTGCAATGTCCTACCTGTCAATGAATACTTCAGTTTCAACCATAACAACACAAGAGCACACAATAGATACAAACTCAAGGTAAACCGTACCAAACTTGATTGCAGGAAATACGACTTCAGCAACAGAGTGGTCAATGTCTGGAATACTCTACCTGACTCTGTGGTTTCATCTCCAAACCCCCAAAACTTTAACCTTAGACTGTCTACCCCTTTCCTAAGAGGTCTGTAGGGGGTGTGCATAAGCGCACCAATGTGCCTACTGTCCCTGTCCTATTGTTTATTTTATTTTTCTTATATGTATCCATTTCATGTATTCATAACTATATGATGCTTATACCTGTTATCTTATAATCGCTTGACAAAATAAATTAAATAAATAAAAGTCATGAGTGCGCCTGCAGACAGCCACTTTATTGTGTGTGTGTGTGTGTGTGTGTGTATGTGTGCGGGGGGCTTATTTCTTGTAATCTTTTCCAATTTTCTGCCCTATGAGGAGGGAAAGAGGAAAAAAGTGGGTCAGGCACAAGACAATAGATACTGGCTGTAATGGTAGTCTGAGAAAAACTCTATAAAGGTCGTAAATGTGCACCTTGGTCCCAAAATTATTTTATGACCCTTGTAAATTTGAACAATCTGTAAATGAGATACTACCTGTATATAAATTATTGACTTTCAGCAGAGATGTAAGGAATATTGCTAAATTCTATTCTGAAAATTAAACTGACTGCAATCTGTACTTTGCTGCAAAAGTGTATTGGTTTACATACATGATTTTTCATCTTCTGCTTAGTTTTAAAGTTTCAGATTATCTTCCTCAAAGAGCAGAGTTATTTTGTTAAATAAGTGTTTACAAGTTGCAAGTTTCAAACATTAGTTTCTGTTTCATTTCATAATAGTAAAAATGTGAGCCAAAACTGTATGCAGTAATGAATTGCAAGTTCATTGCTGGATAACAGAACTGTTCAATAACATTTTTAATCTGCCATTCAAATATACATTTTTCTTGTACTAGCCTTGCATATCTACAGATTTTCTGGGTTTTAGATTAAGATAGTAGTTCTAGAAGCTTTCATTCAGCTTTAAGGGAAATAGTAGCAATCCTATAATTACTAAATAAACTTGGTGAGAGAATAGACTGAAAGGGAGAAACTATGAGATTTTCCTAATAGGTTTTCATAATTTTTGAGAATGCTGTCATTATTTTAAATTGGTAATTCATCTGTATTGTGTTTTCTAATTCAACAGGCCTTATCTGGTCAAGGTATTCTCTAGTAATTATTCCTAAAAACTGGGGTCTGTTTACTGTAAATTTCTTTGTTGGCTGTGCTGGTGGCTCTCAGCTGTACCGCATATGGAGGTAGGTGGTAATTAGGAATAATGTTTTCCAATGTTGCATTCTATTGTTGAATTCTGAAAGTTGTACTTCCAACATATTTAAAAATAGAAAAGATATTACGATAGGACCAGAAAAAAAAAAGGTAGCTCTTCTGACCATTTTTTCTCATGTTGGTGTCTGATCCTATTCCCAACTATTGTTATAGGGAGTTGGGATTGGTCAGTGTTAGAAATAGTAAAAGATAATTCCTCATTTTTTTAAACAAGAAAAATTGTTTAACGAGAGACAGAAGCATTAGATGCATTATTAGCTAGCCTTTGGTTCTTCTTAGTTCAGCTCATCTGTTCTGTTCCCTACAATAGTAGCTATATCTATGGAATAGGATTAGTTTGTCCTTTAGTAGGTCGGTCTTTGAAAACTTGCTATAACAGATTTCATTTAATAGAAGCCATTTTTCTTAGGCTGCCATTAGATAATATTTCAGTTATCTAGATTTATTCAAACCCATTGTTTCCCTTGTATATAATGCAAATTGATAACCTGGTAGTAGCTATCTTGCTTATCTTCACTTTGAACATTGGCTACCTTAAACATAAAAGTCCTTGGAAAAATGCTGCTCTGGTTCTTCTATTTATTACTCTCTTTTTATGCAATCCATTCAATATGTGTTATTCATCTTCTGTTTAGTAACAGTATTATCAGAGCAGGTGGCAACAGTTAGGAAATTTTGACAGATCTTTAAAAAGCTAAATAGGACTAGACTTCTGCAATCCAGATCTGATAGCCTTCTTTAAACAGAATATATAATAAAACCCATCTTTTGAATTAAATTACAAGAAAATTAAAATCAATGCAATTTAGTTATATTTCTTATCTTATTTTCTATATTGTTTTTCCTATCAGTTCTTTAAAAACATGTTTGATATACAATAAGAACTATAACTAAACTAACTACAGTTTAATTATATATATTATTGTATATCAAACATGTTTTTAAGAAATGACAGGAAAAACAATATAGTAAACAAAAATATAATTTCTAATATAATGCAATGTTTTTTATTTCTTCAAAATATATTGGCAATAGTGAATAATTTTTATTCTCTTTTTCTGACAGGTATAACCAAGAGTTAAAAGCCAAAGAACTGGAAAAGCAGCAGTAGAAATTCTAGTTAATTTCTTCTAATTTCAATGTAAACTACTTCCTATGGGACCTAGTTTTAATCCTGTTCAGTTGCCCAGTATGAATTTTTACTAAAAGTGGTAGAGCATGTTTTTCTATAAAGTTAGAAAGCAGCCTCTTTGCATTTAAATAAACTCTTTAATAAGCTTCTAGTCTCTTCTTAAGCCCAAATGCAACTGGTACAAGTATTTTTAAGGACAGAAGCAAGCAAGATGACTTTTTTAGCTGCTCAGAAACCTGAATTTGAAGGGGAAAAGGTGATTTAGGGGACTCGAGTTCTCACACCATATCTTTCACCAGCAACTTAAAAATAATCTTTTCCAGGCTCATGGAACTGCCACTTCACAACCAGAAAAAGACAGGTTTCAGGAGGTACATAGGTGCCAAATATATGTTCTTCTTCAAAGCAATGTTACAGTCTTAATAGCAGTAGATCCAATGGTCCAAACTGCTCAAATTACTGTAAATCTGGCCTGAACGCAGGACTAAATTCATATATTTTGCTATATTTTAGAAATACTCACTTTTTCAAAGTATGAAAATTTGTCAGACTCATAGGATCATTTAAAAAATATTTTTGGGATACATCTGCAAATTCCTGTTGAAGACTGGGGTTTATATTATATTTTGTTTTTATATAACTGGAGAAATATTCCTTTTTCAGCATGTTGCTGAACTTCATAGACGCAGAGACAGGCTTAGGAAATAATATTGGTAGACATAACAATTATAAGTGAATACACACATAGAAAATGAAGCATTTCATATTTGCTGAGTTATTTTCAAGTGGCTTATTTTATACCTATATCCAAGTCATATATTTGATTACTGTAATGTATCCTACATTGGTCTGTCCTTGAAGACCATCCAGAAGCCACAACTGAGTTAAAATATGATGACACACTTCTGACTGTCCCACACGTGCTTGTGTTCTGTCACTGTTGTATGAGCTGCATTGGTTTCCAATTGTTTCCCAAGTACAATTGAAGGTATCATTTTTAAAGCCCCACATGGCACAGGGCCAGATAGTTTGCCCAAGTGCCTTTCCCTTACGATATTGGTCCATCCCATTAAGTGAAATAGGGTGAGAGGCACTTTAGGTGCCTTCCCTCAAACATTGCCACGTAGTCAGGTCCTGAGAGCATGCGTTCCATATAGCTGCCCCGTCCCTTGAAACAGCCTCTCACTTGAGATGAGGGAGTGTACCCTTTTAACCCTTCTTAAGGCCTTGAAGTCCTGATTCTTCCCTTAAGCATTAGGGTGGGATGGGATTATGTCACAAGATTAGAAGCATGGGTTACTATAGTGCTTTGGTGGGATTTTATTTTTATTGGTTTTGCTACCACCTAGGTAGCCAGTTAAGATAGGTAGCCAGTTAAATTCTGTGAATTAAAAAAAAATGACATCCAAGCCCCCAAGATCCCTCACTCAACATTATTAGCCCACATTCCTCTCTCAGGACCCTCCGTCTTCAGTTATGTTGCTCTTTCTTACTTTCTTTACCCATTCACTCCCTGGCCCATGTTTTGCATAATTCTAGACCTGTGCTATTCCTTCCTGTGTGTTAAGTGGCACATCTTTGTTCTAGTCGTCTTGCTGCTGATTCTCATCATGGTTAAACACATTTATTTCTGGGATAACTCATTATGATTTCCAAGTTTTCCTGCTTACCTGGTAATATCAGTGGAGTCTTTTTCCTTCTCTTTCCTTGGATAGATAGCAGCACTTCAAAATAAAGCAATTGTATATAACAATACTGCTTTTGCCTGATTGTATGGATGTATGGGTATTTAATGCTCTAGAGACTTCATAGATACAGGGGAGATTTCTATAAATAGATTGTTACTCATTTTTTAAGAATTACTATCCAAGTTCCCTTTTATTCAGAGGAGAAATGAATAACACCAGAGCCAGCAGTATGAGTTCAACAGTGTAAAGATAGGAATTATGCATCTTTAGATGCTGTAGATCTACACTTCCCAGTACCATTCAATATTAAATATACCGGCTGGGGTTATTTTATGTTGCAAAATTTGGAAAACCACAAGCTACATATAAGTATCATATTTTTCAAACTGCTTTTTTGACAAACTGCTTTTATGCAAACTGAGCAATGCCTTGTTTTAAAGTTAAAAAAATATCCTTAAAAAAATAAAATATGTTACTTTCTTGTAGGGAATATACACTGCTCAAAAAAATAAAGGGAACACCAAAATAAGACATCCTAGATCTGAATGAATGAAATATTCTTATTAAATACTTTGTTCATTATATAGTTGAATGTGCTGACAACAAAATCACACAAAAAGTATCAATGGAAATCAAATTTAGCAACCCATGGAGGTCTGGATTTGAAGTTACACTCAAAATTAAAGTGGAAAAAAACACTACAGGTTGATCCAGCTTTGATGTAATGTCCTTAAAACAAGTCAAAATGGGGCTCAGTAGTGTGTGTGGCCTCTATGTGCCTGTATGAGCTCCCTACAATGCCTGGGCATGCTCCTGATGAGGTGGCGGATGGTCTCCTGAGGGATCTCCTTCCACACCTGGACTAAAGCATCCCCCAACTTCTGGACAGTCTGTGGTGCAATGTGGCGTTGGTGGATGGAGCGAGACATGATGTCCCAGATGTGCTCAATTGGATTGAGGTCTGGGGAACAGGCGGGCCAGTCCATAGCATCAATGCCTTCGTCTTGCAGGAACTGCTGACACATTCCAGCCACATGAGGTCTAGCATTGTCTTGCATTAGGAAGAACCCAGGGCCAACCACACCAGCATATGGTCTCACAAGGGGTCTGAGGATCTCATCTCGGTACCTAATGGCAGCCAGGCTACCTCTGACGAGCACACGGAGGGCTGTGCGTCCCCCTAAAGAAATGCCACCCCACACCATTACTGACCCACTGCCAAACCGGTCATGCTGGAGGATGTTGCAGGCAGCAGAACGTTCTCCATGGTGTCTCCAGACCCTGTCACGTCTGTCACATGTGTGAACCTGCTTTCATCTGTGAAGAGCACAGGGCTCCAGTGGCGAATTTGCCAATCTTGGTGTTCTCTGGCAAATGCCAAATGTCCTGCACAGTGTTGGGCTGTAAACACAACCCCCACCTGTGGACGTCCAGCCCTCATACCACCCTCATGGAGTCTGTTTCTGACCGTTTGAGCAGCCACATGCACATTTGTGGCCCGCTGGAGGTTATTTTGCAGGGCTCTGGCAGTACTCCTCCTGTCCCTCCTTGCACAAAGGCAGAGGTAGCGGTCCTGATGCTGGGTTGTTGCCCTCCTATGGCCTCCTCCTCATCTCCTGCACTGGCCTGTCTCCTGGTAGCGCCTCCATGCTCTGGACACTACGCTGACAGACGCAGCAAACCTTCTTGCCACAGCTCACATTGATGTGCCATCCTGGATGAGCTGCACTACCTGAGCCACGTGTGGGTTGTAGACTCTGTCTCATGCTACCACTAGAGTGAAAGCACCGCCAGCATTCAAGAGTGACCAAACCATCAGCCAGAAAGCATAGGAACTGAGAAGTGGTCTGTGGTCACCACCTGCAGAACCACTCCTTAATGGGGATGTCTTGCTAACGCCTCTGCTTTCCACCTGTTGTCTATTCCATTTGCACAACAGCATGTGAAATTGTCAATCAGTGTTGCTACCTATCTGGACAGTTTGATTTTACAGAAGTGTGATTGACTTGGAATTGCATTGTGTTGTTTAAGTGTTCCCTTTATTTTTTTGAGCAGTGTATATTGTAACAGTCTCTGCAACATGCTTTTCTCTTCTGGGAAAACATGAAAATAGTTGGAAGAAACTCCTTTCTACCTTTCCAATCCACACTCCATTTGAGCGTACTAATTGTGTTGCTCCAGTTTGCTCAGTGCTATAGGTCATGTAAATCCACTGAATTAAGCCAAAACAAATAAAATAAAACCAAGCCTGGCTTTGCATGATGTGAATCCAGCCACTTGAAGCCTATCTATTTAAAGTACAAATTATTCCATTATCTATCATTGTAGATTGACAAATTGAGACATACAACAGACCACTAATGAAAAAGGTTTATTAAAATATTCACAAGAGCACAATATAAAGCTGCTTATGAGAATATGGAAAAGAAAGAAGACTTGTATAATAAAAATTTCCAGTTTTTTAAAAGTGCAGAAACAAGGTAAAAAAGGGCTCAGTGTTGCATGGCATGGATTTACCTAGTGACAGGAAATCTTAGAACAGGGGTCTCCAACCTTGGCCGCTTTAAGCCTGGTGGACTTCAACTCCCAGAATTCCCCAGCCAGCAAAGCTGGCTGGGGAAT